TATAGATAGGTAGTTCTGCTTCTTTTTAGTATTGTTGAAACCCAGTATGGTGGTTTATAAGTTTACAAAGTACATGCAATGCTCGTGTTTGGAAAACGTATCAGTATGTACGATCCTAATTCAAGTCTGCTACCTACTTGATTCTTCGTACGCAGATGAATCCACTAATATTATAGAAGAGTGATTTCGTAAAGAAGAAGAACATGAGCGATTGTTTTGAGCCTGCTTCAGATTGCCACGAGACTTCAAAGTTTTCTCCGACGGCTTACTGCCCCTATTAATACTTGCGCCTCCGTGTCTACTCATTGAAACGGTCGATCCCACTGCTGAGAAAAGAATATACACAAGATTCAGACACACACAGAATCCATAGCCCCCAAAAATAAACAATAATAGAAACACTATTTAAAACCAAATATTTGTATGTGACCACGGAATACGGATACTTTTAGAAAACTATTTTAAAAAAACATACTGAAAGATCTGCTGTATAAATTTTTCTACAATATTTTATATATATAAAAAATTGAAGTCGCAGAAACACTATGAACTAATTGAGGTCATCTTCGACCTCAGGCCAAACCGAAAGGATGGTCTCAGCTACTGTGTGCGACTTTAGTAATCACTACCAACACTATCAGCCATCAGGTCTCACATTGTACTCAACACGGGTGTGAGTGTTGTCAAAAATACTGCACTTACCCTGCCGGTAACGTGCACTCGTATAATAGTTCGGTATTTCTAGACTTATTGAAAGTCTTTTCAAAAATAAAGATTGAAGCTTATTTTTATTTATTTTTAAAAACTACTTTTTGGCGGACGCCGGCCCGCCGTGCAGCGCATCCTCATTCTGTCTACTCTCGCAATAGCAAAATACTCTAGCTAGAGTAGAGAGGAGGAGTCAAGAGAGACACTGAGGCAGTGATTAGTGATAAGCATTAAACCCTATTTTTATAAAAAGAGCTTTTAGGGTGCTATGTATGTCTAATTTATAAGGCTATTTATATAGGGCTGTAGGCTCCATATATTTATAAACATATTGTCTCCAACTCTCCAATATCCATAGTAACTATCGGAATAGCGATCTAAAATGTAAAATCAGTAGATGAACATTTAGGAAATATTTAGACTTAAATGTGGATGAACTATTTTTTTTGAAAAGGGTCATGAAAAACATATTTATGTACTATGTACTTACCATAGCCTTGTGTATTTTTTAAAAGGAATTTAGAAGGCCATGTATTGTTTTTTATATAAACAAGATATAGTGTAGACAGCCGTCAGGTTGGCACGTTCTTTAACAATTTCACATAACAATGTCATGAGTCCACGAGGCCAAGGAGTTGTAAATATACAAATTTAGAATTTAGAATATGATTGGGCAGAGAGAAAGTTCACAGCCTCACACTGTGACTGATGACTAAGCCTATTTTTTATATAAAGTATTTATCAGGATTCAGGACTGAGGCTGACAGACTCACACTCACAGTCGCAGCCTGATCCAGTGCGAGTGAGTGTCTGAGAGAGCCTTGACAGTCTAACACACACGGGTTAGTACTTTAGTGGTCAGGATTCAGGATACTTAGAACTAAGGACTGAGGTGGTCAAGTTGTCACTAATCAGTGTTTAGTGTTCAGTGGTCAGCAGAGGCACTGGTTATCAGTGGTCACTACGTACTACTAGTCAGTGGTTGCCTCTGCAGTGCTGTGTATTTTAGAGAAGGCTATGCACTATGTAGTTGCTAAGTAAATAAGTACTGAATACATAACTGTCTACACTTCTGTGTCTCACTCGGCAGTCTGCACTCTGCAGTTTGCACTCTCCAGTCTGCGCTCTGCAGTCTGCAGTCTGCAGTCGCACTCTCGTTAGTCTAACTCTGTAGACTACAGCACTCTACAGTCTAGGGTCCTCGAGACGACAAAATGACAATTTGAAGGCCTGTAGATTTGAGATTTCTAAAGCAATGAGCCGTTTTTTTATAACATGAACAATTCAAAACAGATCAAAAAATTACCTACGCTCCTTTTTTGAAAAAGCAACTGACTATAGTTTTATACATTATTATATTTATCATTAGAATATTCTCTACAGATCGGCCAATTGAATTTGTGAGAGAAAAAAAACAAGAGTAGAGCACATGCGTTTGGGTCGGTTTTCGAGTTTGCAGACTCCAGACTCTAGATTGGAAGAATGGAAGAATACGCAAATATGAATGAAATATGTATCAAATATCATATTTTTAAATATGCCATTGACTCGCGCTTCTATTCTGCTCGTGTCTTTGTTTTGTTTTAGGGGTTAACAAATACGTGCCAGTCACACGCTTCCGGCCTTATTTACGCCTTCTATTTCAAGCGAACAGTGATGTATTTAAAAAAAAATGTATATTTTAATTTTTATATCCAACGGGGAGGGGATTTTTTAAAAAATGTTTATAGCCAACTAAATTGAAAAAAAGGGATATAAATCATACATATTTAGATAATCATACATATTTATTTACTGTTTTTGTTTTTTGTTTTATTTTAACAAAAAAAGAATTAGGCGCGCCTCTGGCCCACTGTGGCCCTCTGTGGCCTGTGCCCTGGCCCCTGTGGCTGTGGCTTATAAAGTTATAATATGATTTTTATATATAAACAAATCTAGATGTTGTAAATATTTATTTTTAAATATTTATTTTCCTAGACTGAGGCCTAGTCATAACGGGTTCGGAAATTTCCGTTCGGATATGAAATTCGAAAAGGTCAAATATGTATATTTTGTCCTTTTAGCTCAGCACAACGCCCTCAATCAATTTCTGGACTTTTTTTTGTAAAAATATGTAGCTTGCATTTACGTAGAATTTCAAACAATAAAAAATTGCTTGTAACTTTGGTTTCCGATTCCCGTATTTCCGAACGAACTGCCGACTTTTCTAGGGGTATACTTGCCCTCGAAAGTCTGTCCTCGTTCGAAAATATATTTTCGAAATTTTCTTGAAATTTTAAAATCCTCTTCTACCCATTGACTGAGAAATCCGAATTTCATATCCGAACGCAAAATCCGAACCCGTTAATACTGGGCCTGACATAGCCTTCTCAGCAATATTTATTCAAAGGCTATGGTACATACTGAACTTACTTTTTATTTGAATATATACACCGATTATTGTCACGCAATTTACTGTTTCTGAATAAAAATCAACTGTGGTTCAAAATTCTGTATTGTTCTTCATATCAGAATGGACTTGCGTACGTGCCTGCTTCAAGGACCCGGGACGAATTATGTACCAGGGCACTCAGACCATCCGTACCCCGATGTGCAAAATCGCTTGGCTATATGGAAAACTGTCGCGAACTGGTAGGTGCTGAAGTTACTCAACATGACGAGCACGAACTGCGGATATACCCCCTCGCGAAGGCTTTTATAGTAGCTGAGAGTACGCGGCGACGAGATGTTATGGATCTTGACGATCAGCTTTTCACATTAACCATTGTGATGGTACCTCGACCTGCCCCGCGACTGTGCGGCTCTTCTCTACTGAGCCGTATAGAGGGGAATATGCCCTCACGGACCTGACTGGGCAGCTCGATGGAGATGCCATAGGGGACCTAACAAAACTACGAGCCAAATATGGCAATGTTTGTGGTGTTGGTCCTGCACTACTCGTCGAATCCTTTGTAGGATACGTTTTCGAACGCATACTCGACCATGCATCTGACGATTTAGTACTGGTCAAGTTTCAGTTCCGAATTGCTGCATGGTTCAACTCAAAAGAATTGTCTGTGCATGAGTTTCAGTTTTTTTACTCGCTCATAGATGCCCTTGACGAGAAAACTCGCGCCTTATATGCGATTGAAGAACGTTTACAAGATGCCCGGCAGCACTTGTACGATGAGAATCGTGTTAGGGCCAAGAAAAATTCAAAAATGACCGATCACTTGCCTTCGCAGTCAATATCAAGTTTGCCGGATACATCATATCAAATCGATACCGCGAATTGAGTTGCGAACTACTAAATACAGACTCGACTGGGGAGCGATTATATGCTGAACCTATCGTTAGTATTCCTCCGCTATTCACACTCGAAGATGTTGTCGCACTGCGTCGAGATACGTCCGAATTTCCAAATCACCTTGTTCTGGATGCCGTTGAATCCAGATTTTATTGTAGATTTCGAGATCCTTGCTGACGTAGCGAAATGGCTTCTGGACCTTGTCCAGAAAAGTTCCATCTCATCAGATGCGCACCATCACTCGGAGTGTGTAGTTAGTCATAGCCGCTTAGTGGCCTCAGCATTCGTTTGTCTCAATCACATTCTCATTGTGCAAAAATATCCGGAAGCAGCGCAATTTTCGCTCAGTATACCTGACTGGTCATCACATTATCGCTTGTCAAGTGATAGTGCACTCGATTTGCACCGGCAGATCGGAGCCTACACTAAACCTTTCCTAGCGAGACATGGAGTGACTGCGTTAAGTCTAGAGCACCCCCAAGGATGGCTTCAGCTAGCAAATTTGGTCGTGCGTGACGATGACATAGACTTTCTTGAAGCACTCCGGCTGCAGGGAAAACAGCGCACCCAATTATGGGACGATAGAATCATACCACGTCAACGACAGTATCGTCATGCCGAGGAAGAGGTGGCCCGGTTACTCGAAGAGAAAATGATGCACGAGGCGAATATAGCTAAATTGGACACAAAGCTCTTAAGTTTGAAGGAAGAATTGAGCTCTGTTGAAAGGCAACATAATGTTCAAAAATATTTTTATAAGGGCAAGAAAGAGGCGCTAAAAACCGCACAAAAAGAAAAGAAAGAGGCACTGGACAGCGCGAATGACCTGGAAGCAGACATCAAAACAAAAGAGCGACATTTAGATAAATTGGAGGAGGAGCAGTCGGCTTCGGCAGACAGCTTCGAGAAAAAGTTGCGTTATCGTAAGATTTTCACCGAGACGCTAGAGCAGACCATGCGTGAGGAACAGGAGCGCAAGCTCCGAATGGAAGATGTACAAAGCAAGCTTAAAATTTTGGTGCAGCGGGTAGAAGCATTAGAAACTGGTATACATACTGTGCAGCTCGGCTCGACCTCAAACCTTTATAAATTTGAAGGGAAATACTGGACACGTTCTCGTCTACAGAACGCGGTGGTTGAGGAGGATACGAAGAAAGGAAAGTTGGAAACCGCACTTCAGGAACTTGGAGCTTCGAAACCTGGCGACAGTCTAGACATTGCTGGTGCACTCGACGAGGCGAAATCTGATACCACTGAGTTGAATGATTTGTATGAGGAGACGAAGAAGAAGTTAGATTCCACCATAAAAATTGAGAAAGAGTGTACAGCCGAATTGAAGGAACAACATAAAAATGCTGCGCTGGAGGCCGAATCGCGCAAGGAGGCATGGTTATCTGCTAGAATGACGCTGGAAACGACTGGCGACGGATCTGAATTTGATGCGGAGATTCGGGGCTTGTCAAAAGAGGTGCAAGAGATAGAGGAACGGGTAAGCCAAAAACAGAAAACTATAAAATCACTGGAAAAGGAAAGCGGTGATCAGCGTAACATTATGACGAAAATGAACCGCCCTTTCTACCCGAATGATACGGATCTACCTTACAACACAACGCAAGCCCGCAAACATTGGTTCTTTCAAAAAAAAATATCACCAGAACTGGACAGCTTCGCATTATCTCTTTACAACTTGCCCTGCTATACTAAAATCCCTATCTCTGAGGGAAGTGTAATCTCAAGCCCGTTCAAGACGATGATGAGTTATCGCAGAAGGTATTCAGTGATTCCGGTGAACGTTATGGATATGGATATTAATGACTGGACCAAGGACGGTCTAAACTATTTGGACCTGCAACATGAGGGTATCAATATCGTTTGGAAATTCGATGATAATGTCTGGGAATTCAAGCTCAACTTGGTCGATGGTGCTCTTTTCATACCTGACATCAAGTCGGATTCGAAATGGGCTTTGACGACTGTCGGTATTTCTGCTAGTAGTGATGACACGCGACCTAATGAATGGGTGGCACACACAAAACAACTTCCCGAGGCGGACGCTGAGGCCTTTGGTCGTGTTCTGGCATTTCCACGCCAGTCATGGATGGAGCTAGTTGCGTTTATACGCAACCAAGATTTGCAACTGAGTACCGATTTTTCATCTCGGATTCGAATCGAGAACGACATTTCAGTGGTGATGGATTTGGTGAGACGCGTTGGCCCACTAGATTCAGACACGGGTGACTATATTTGGGCGAGTGGAGTGAAGTGCGACAGTGCAATCTGGGGAATCTTCCGTTCGATCATTGACAATAATGCCAACAATCCACACAATGTTGTAATACTATGGCTCACAGCCGAGGCTTTAAACCGTCTCGTGCAGTTAAAACTCGATGAGGCTCTCCCGGTGCTGCATCATTGTGCCAAGCAATGCTCTCAACTCCCTCGTGACAGCTTCATAGTTAGTGCGGTGTGTACAGTTGTGGCTGCATACTCCTTCGAGCGTGCCCAAGAACCTGACGATCGTCGCAAAGCCTCTGAGTATCTATTAGCGGCGCGAATCGCTGCTTATGGCTGCCGTCCTTCAGAACATGCTTTCCTCAATGAGGCTCCAGAATTGATGAAATCAACCTTGGGAAGAACGTTGGAACGTATTTGTGTGAACTGGATAGCAAACCTAGATAAGGATAGTCACATTGTTGATTGTGTTCTGAATAGTTTTTGGAACAGTGATGCGACCCGAGATTGGGCGAATTCCGGCAGTAGCCTATTCGTATGTCCCCACCCTTCCTACGAACTCGATGTGCTCACGGGCGAACTTCGTATCGACATGAAGCACGCTGGGCCACTACCACGATCGCTATTAGCACAGGACAGCTGGAAGCAGATATTTGGTGAGGTGGTATTTCCGGACATGGTAAAGAGTGCGGACGTGTATACTAGTTTACCGGATGCACCTTTTCCACATTACACAATACGCACAGACGAGAGGGGTCAATTTTTAGGCGTACGTACAGAGTATGAAAATGAAGTTACATTAACTACCGGGGTATCAAAGTTGTCTTGCGTGATCAATACGATGCCACGCAAAATGTACACGCGGACTCCATGGTATGACGAGGACCGCAATCGAGTGTTGTTTATGGATACTACAGGAACGGTACTAGAAGTCGCGGAGGCAGATGTAAATTTGGATGGTAGATACAACATTGTACACGTTGAAGACGATCGAGTTAACAAGAAAAATTCTTGGGCGGCGGAAGGATTTGCATCCGAAATTCGTCCAACACAGAAACGTTTATTGCATGCGCGCGACGAGCTCCAGAAGTGGACAGATGTGCTCGCACGTGTAGAAAATCAGGAACATATTGAGTTAAGCAGTCTGTATGTACCTTCAATAGAACAGCACAAACTCACGTGGAGGTTATATCGTTGGAGCGCTATTGGACTCAGCTTCGAGCAAACCTTGGGTCAAATTGCATGGCGTAGTCTAGAGTACGATGGTTATGAGATGGCACGTGAACAACACTGCCCCCATATCTGGGGCCAGTCTCGAAATTATTTACGGTTGGTGGCAACGGACCCGAATGAAGCTGTAAGACTGCCAGATCTCTTCTTGTTGCGCGAGCAGGACCCACATACTTCTACGCTCACGGAAACCTCTGAGTTACATATAACGTATCATGAGTACACGATTCACCCTACCTTAGGCGAGCTTAGGGCACGTACAATGGAAGGTTTGTTGTATTTGGCCGCGGAGTCTCTACGTCACCACGACGGACTACCTCTGACTGGTAGCAATGACATGACAGGTGAAGAGCGTGCTACCGAATGTCTTCGCAGAGCACTGGCTGTAGATACGATATCGGCCAACTCGTCAACAGAAAGGTCATTAAGGATGATAGAATCCTTATGCTCGTCAGTACATTCGCCCATCTACCAGATGTGTGCCTTGGTTCGTCACCAAGCGGCCATTTTGGGGTCGCTAAAAGAGTCCGCGAGTGAAGATTCAGAGCACACTTTTCGTCCACAGCCTGAAATTGTCCCAAAAGTAGAGACATGTATGCGATTAGGGCCCCGTTTACAGCTCCCTGCAAGTCTTTTGTTGCCGTCTGATTCAATGGAGAGTAGTTTGAAGGCGGATGCGCGATCCTTCCAGACCATACATATTGAACCAGTGCCCTACACAACATCCGCCGGCAAGCACGAAGCGAAGTTAAATAGTATGTTGACAGTACTACGCGAAGACAATCGATCGGATTCCATTGAAGAAACCGATAGCAAACCGAAATTCCCACTTGAGGGGCTTAAGGCTGTAACTGATCACATGGAAAATCTTATCCAGTCCACTAAAGTGAGCTGGGAGGAATACCTGAGTTTCATCCCCGTGAAACCAGTTGTTGATGAAATGAGACCTATGATATGGGAGATTCAGCGAGAGGGTCGGATGGCTAGAGACAAACTGGTCGCGTATATTGACTCGGCAATGCGGCGGATACCTAAGGAGGATCCACTGAACTGGAAGGTTTGTCAGATTGTTGGCTTTATTCCTGAATTCTCTCGTATCGACTACGTCAGAGCAATTTTGGACGAGAAGCACATATTCAGCTTCACTCCCTACCTATCACCTGGCTCCGTAGAACGAGTGCGCGACGCTCTGTTTGCCTGGGCGGAACTAGTTGTGCTCCTGGACAGATGCTCTCGACTGCTTGCCCCAAATATTACGCTGAATTCACTTATCATCGAGTTAGAAACGAAGCGGTCGTACGATGTCCGCAATTACCCTGAATGGCTGGTATTCGAGCTCGACGGGCGGTTGCAGATCCGTAATGATCAACAGGCCGCTGTGGCTGAACTCGTTAAGGCCATGGGGCCTAATCTCTCAGATACGAACCTAAAACCCATGATGCTGCAAATGGGGATCGGTTCGGGCAAAACGCGGGTGGTGATGCCGTTGCTAGCGCTCCATATTAACAGCAAGGTGTACGCATGCATCGAACACCATCCTCACAAGTTGTGCCGGGTGCTGGTGCCAGAGCCACTACTAGACGAGGCATATGCCGCCTTCATCACCTCGTTATCACTCAGTACCTTAGCACAACCTGTCATACGAATGCCGTTTTCGCGCCAAAGTAACATCAAGGAGAAAGATATGAACATGCTGTACCGCCACCTTTCACTGCTGCGTGTGCATGGTGCCATGGTTATGAGCGCCCCAGCTCATATCAACTCGGCGCGGCTGAAATCAGTGGAAGAGGTAGATGATCCAAAATGGTTCAGAATGCCACAGACTTTTGTGAACCCAAATCTGTTTGTTGACATTGTGGACGAGTGTGATGAGGTGTTCCGCCCGGGGAGTGAGCTTGTCTACGCGGTAGGCAATGTCCGCTACGATGGAGCCGATTGCCCAACTAGCTTATTAAGGATTCGTGTCATTGAAATCGTTTTGGAACTCGCGTGGAGCTACCAGGAGGATATTGGCGAAGCGGTGATGCCATGGTGTGATTTTTGCAAGGAACTTCTGCATCGAGTTTTCAATTTGCCGACAAGAGCTGGAAACTTGGCATGGCTTGACGAAGTGAGAGATCGTGATGTAGTCGTGGGGACAGAAGAGCCGAATATGGACGCCTATAAGGATTCGGAGTCGACTCAATTGTTAATGTTGCGTGGGTTGTTTTCATTCGGGTTGCTGGCGAACCTATGGGAACGTCGTTATCGAGTGCACTATGGCATCGATGAAACGAAAACGACATACAAGAAGAAGCGTCTAGCCGTCCCTTTCCGTGCCAACGATACACCGTCGCACAAGAGCGAGTTTGCACGGTTAGATCTTGTAATTGGGTTTACAATCATGTCGTACTACCGCAAAGGTCTGACCTTGCATCAAGTTGGCGAAGCATACAGGCGGCTGTTGCAGCTCAACGCAAATCAACGTGAGGCAGAGTATAAGTATTGGACTGCGGACTTAGATGATGATTCGTCTTGTCCCCGCAGTGTAAAGGATATAACCGACGCCGATATCGAGAATCTAGCCGCAGTTGTGGGCCACAAACGAGCAGTGATCCATTTCTGGCTCAATCAGTGCCTGTTCCCAACCGAGCTGCAAACATACCCTCAGTCGATATCGACTAATTCATGGCATTTGATGTCAGGTTCGCACCGTATTGTGGGATTCTCAGGTACTCGAGACTTGGGTTTGTTGTCACCGCACGCCACAGTGATGGGTTATGTCAAAGGTCACAAAGGAGCTAATGGTCGAATGCTAAGTCTGACCAACAGAGTCAAGGACGAAGACGTGTACTCAGTAGGAAAAGGCACGGAAGTCATAAGCGATCTGATCTCCGTAGCAAAAGATCGGCAGGTTGATGCCATAATCGATGCTGGAGCTCTATTCCAAGGTCACACACCAGCAGAAATCGCTGTGCGTTTGCGTGCGGAACTGCCACCGTCTAAACATCGGAGGGGTATCATTTACCACTCACCAGAGGGTTGGCGTACTTTGCCATCCGACCAGAGTACCATATCACAAGACATGGCTACATGCACTATCCCAGTGCATCAATGTTTAGTATTGTACGACCAGGAGCACACGCGTGGGGTGGATATGCGACTGCGCCACGATGCCTTTGCCCTGGTTACCGTAGGCCCAGACTTAACTCGAGATGCGTTCATGCAGGCCATAGGACGCTTGCGTTTACTGGATGGCAATCAGCGTTTTGGGCTCGTGATACCTCAATATATTCTGGACAAAACTGACTGCATAGCTCCAACAGGGGAATGGACGTGCACACAGCGTCTTCTTGGCTGGTTGCTGCAGAACACTGACCATGCGGTACAGTGTAATGTTGTGAATTGGGTAGAACAAGCCATACACTTCCGTGTTACAGATGCGGCACGTCGTCGAAACCAACCACGCAAGAACGGGTTAGTACCTAGTACCGCAGAATTTTCCGTGGCGACGGATGCACCAAAACTTCTCATCGGCACATCTGCTGCTCAGGCACGCGGGGCGAAGGACGCATCTACAGCGGGCGTCGGTATACCATTTGGCGAGAGTACTCCCTTGCCAAAGGTGGCGACGGGAGTACCAAAACCAGTCGCCGGAGTATTTAGTGCAGCGCCACCCGCGACGAAGGCTACACC